TCAAGCTCGACGGTCTTAATCGTTTCAGTATTTGTTTTTAACACTATCGAAAATGATTCACATTCATCAAACTTTATCGTCACATTTCAAGTAAAATATCGAGTTTTATTGTATTTTTAAGACTGCCGGTCTATTCATTTTTATAAAATAGGGGCTTAACAAATGTAAATCCCATCTTGCAACATTTTGCATTTAAATAATACACAATGTTTGTTTTTATGAACTGGCACCATTTTAAAAAAAAATAAATATCAGAAGTCACCTATTGAGATCCCTTACCTATTTCATCAACATTCCAAATGACACGATGTCCATTTAACATTGCTCATAAGGTCTATATGCAAAGGACCGACAATAAACGATTGTTAAACGTAAAGTGTACAGTATACGGGACCAATTTGTTAACCATATTTAAACAAAGTAACTAAAAGAATCATTCGTTAACAATTTTGACTGTGCCTACCCTTTCAGTTCTGTTAACTTAATTTTATCAGTTGAATAATTTTAAGCAAGCTTTATAAAAGTTGCTCACATTCGTTTTGGTGCATTTGTGATAATGATGATGATCACAATGAATGTCAGACTTTGACAGTGTTTAATGTGGTTAGGTTCCCCTAATGAAATGGTTAACCACTATACAACAGGTTATTACCTTTGTACGTGCGAATAAATGCACGACTGAATAATTGGGAGAGAAAATGAAATTATCAAAATAGTATTTGATAATAAATATTTTTGCAGCATTGTGCATAAAACGTTAAGAGAAATTTGACAATCTTTTTATGTCTTCTTTGAATTGTATTTCAATGAAAATACTTTTAGCTGAATAGAGCATACAGTACGTATGAGTTTGTTTAGTCCTTCGATGTATCGAGATGGTGTCGAATCTATCTTATTCTGCAACCAAAATTAAATACTCAATAAAACAATTCTAAAAAGAAACCAATGTTACATTGTTTTATTTTTATTTCATAAACATACTGTCTTACCAAACCGAGTCTTTTGTCTCATTTATTTTTTTTCTTTGAAAATAAACATAAATAAGGAATTTGATAATATACGCTTTGTGATGTTTTTTTTGTTAGTGTTTATATTTGTACTTGATTTACTTTATTTGTTAGCCACTCAAAAAACAACAACAAAAAACAAATTATTATCACAATAAACAACTGATTAATCATTGTTGTACACCAAATAGCCACAAGTTAGCTGTTATTGAAGTCATCTTATATTTCGAGTATTCATATCAATTAAATAGGAATACAAAGGTGTTTACACTAAAGAAAGGTTAAAAAGCGACTTAAGGAAACATTAAATGTAATGTCGGTAACTTACCCAGTTTCAACCGAAATATACCTGAATTAACAATAACAGTCTGAAATATTGTTTGAAAACAATATATCTCGACTATCCGACTTTCTTTTATTATGATACCATACTGATTATTTGTTTGTTTGTTTGATTCGACGGTGCACCGACACAAGTTAGGTCATATTGCACCGGAACAGGAAAAATGATTTTGGCTAACCTCGGGTGTTACAAAGGTGCAACACCATGGGTCAAAACCATTTCACATGCTTGAGCTAAGAGATACATAGACTTTAGTAACTCAAACCCATTGTTTCGTCTCTACGATCAGACAGGCAATTCTGCTGCCCAACAAGTATAGTCAATAATGATACTACACTTGCATTACGTAAAATATCCCCCTAAAGAACGGATTAATAATAGGCCTACTATGTATGCTTTATGTAATTAATATATAAACGAGATCTAGATACGATATGAATGAATACCTGTAATACATATCAACAATAACAAACCTATCCGAAAGAAAAATCAGACCTATCCCAAAAATAAATAAAACTCAATGTCAAGAAGACGATAATTATGACACCGAGACATTGGACAATTAATAAGACAGTTAGCATAAAACAGAAGCACTTTGATCACAAGGTAAAACGAACCTATCCATATTGTTCTGCTCATTTAATTTCGTCTAATTTGTTGGTTTTCATATTATGAAACATTATTCGCATTGGCGGTTTACGATTTAATCTGAATTGATGAACAATTGAATATCAGATCCAAGTGTTATGACTCCCGTAAACAACTTTGATACAGTAGCATTCTATTTCATATGCCTAAATGCACGATAATATAAATGAGGGAGAAAATGATATCATCTTGAATGCATTTAATAAAAGACATTTTGCAGACCTCTATAATAATCAGATTTGTGAATATTGAGCTGGATCGATTAATATACAAATGTCTAATGTAAGAGATATTTTTTATTTCAGACTTGCTTTTGAAAAACATGATCAAAGTCTTAGTTTTCCAAAGAGAAAAAAAAGAAAAAGTTTCACACAATCACACCAGACATCCGGATTGCTTGCAATTTTAAAGAAGTGTTCCTTTGTTTTCTCAAATCTATTGAAAACAATTGAGGAAAACTCAAATATAATTAGCAACATGATTATCACGTTTACGTTAAAAAGGGCAAACTATTCTAAAATTATCAAAATTTAACAAAGGCGTCTTTATATGATATTCACTGAAAATATTTTCATATGTATTGCCCCATATTGCAATAAGTTGACATAGGGTTAATGGATTTTGCACCGGTGGGTTTTTTGTTCACATCATAAAAGGATAATTCGAAATACAATGCTAGTCAAATATCAAATAATAAGACGATTAAAGGTTATGCGCAAGATTTGTTAGTCATTTAATGGACCCCGAATTAAGTGTTCTTTAAATATAAAAAAAGTCAATTAATGCCATATCAAATTCATTATGTGACAGTTAAATGTATCTCGTATAACTACAAATGTCACCAGATTAGTGTAATCAAATTAATTTAATAAAATAAACATTAATGATTGAAGTTCCTTAATGCAATCAAACGAATAACTAACATACCACCAGCATTTTGTAGCAAGTGTTTATCTAGAAACATACCTTTCATTGATAAAAACTATCATAGGTCAAATAGTTTCAAAGAGAATCGATATGGTATGGCACAAATGTATTCATTTTGAAAACATATCATAGTAAGACTTTTAGGTCTGTTTTTGTGATAACTCAGCTAGAATATTGGTTTCCTTGATTTTTGAAATGAGCATGTATTTGCACTTTGTTACATAATATTATAAACAGTATTTTGTCTTCTGCTTTAAAACAGAAAAAGGGGTAACGTCTTAAATTTCGAGGGAATAATGGAGAAATATAAGATATGACATTAATAGTCCTCTGCTGATCATCGATGACACTTGATGGTGGGAAAAGTGAATATTTCTTGAGCTGTTAAAGCAAAATAAGAAAACATGCTCTTTGTATGAACAGCTTTTGATTTTATATTCGGTCTACGGTCTTTGCCAATTTTGACAATTTATTTCAAGAAAAATTGGTCAAAAGATTCCACCCATTTTTATTGTTGGGACGAAAATTTCCGTAAGTATTTAATAATTTATAATTCTGGCTAACAACTTGATGCCGTATGGGTGTAGATAGTAATAATTCGAGATCTTTGAGATCTTTGTCCAAGAGTGTTGAATCTGAAACTATCAAAAAATAACAAAGAGTTAAATTATTATTATAACTTTTTGGGTTTTTCCTAAATTTATTAATCTGTCTCTATGAATTGTTTAAGTATGTTACCAACAAAATGTTTGTTATCCTAAAAAATGCATGTTATTTGTCGAACTCCTAACTGTTTCAATGTGGGTTATCAAGGTAAAAAATTCAAGCGTTTGATTTATTTGCATGTTAAAAGATAAGCACGGGTTCAGTGAATGGCTGTTTCCAATTATCTAATGAATTCAAACATTCCAATTTGTGTTGAATACTCTGGTTTAACTATTTACAACTAATACTATTTAATTCCCACGGCAAATGAGGTACCATCGTTCATCAGTGAATACTGCATTCTGTACTGAAGTGTCTTTTAACACACAATTGTTACGTAATATAATATTATTAGTTTGTTTAGTATATTAGTTGTGTTTTTCTACATAATTATATGATTATAAATTTGTTTTACTGAAGCATACCAATTGGTCTTTTTACATACCGCCTTGCTCATTTTGGACATATATGGCAGATTAGGCAATGGTTTTGCACAATACCAGCGTTATTTACACGTGCTTTTTTCAACAATGAAATGACAATATATTTTTTTTACATTTTATTATAACAAAATAAAAATACATACTTTTGTATAAAGTTTAACATTTTTATTGGACATGGAAATGTTTTGGACCATTTCTATATATACATAAAATGAACATTTATGCATAATAATACAATGCACATTAAAATTAATTATTTACTAAATTAAACTTACTAGTACTCTACTTAAAAGAAAGAACTCATTGTAAAAATGAGTTTCTTTCTCTTTAACAATCTAGTAACAAAAAGAAAAAATGTAAAACACATTGAAAGAACACAGATAAAAAAATTCTTGCACAATTTTTCCTTTGTCTTTCATTTGTTACAATAGATTTATAATAAAAAATAATCCATATGTACGTATAACTCGTGTGTATTTTTCTATAGCTTTATTACGATTACAAGTACCTTTTACTTCCGATATTATTAATGCAAGCTTTTTCAATTCAACTTCTTATCACCTGATGCAGATGTGTTTCTAAGCAGTGCAATTAGTGATAATTTTTTTACACGGACTTTAGCCTAAACCCGTGTTATAACTAATATATTACAACATATCATATCAACCTTACGTCAATACAAATAATGTATCAAGTAAAGCTACAAATAATGGGACTGTATGGTTACACAATAATGCATTAGTCAATGGTAACATTATAACTACGATTATGTATATGATACTGAGGTAATTTGTTGAAACAAAACATCAAAAGAAAAACAATACGTTTGACAATGAACAACAGGTGTTGACTAATTATCATGAAAATAAGAAGAAAATCCAACCGGTCATCACACAATGACAAACACTTTCATTTGGCTTAACTCACACCACTTATACAGAGCTACAGAAAATCCATTAATGTGACAAAATGAATATGATTGTTGATAATAAACTATTTGTAGCTTATTTTGAAGCACTGTCGATTAAGCACGAACAGTAATAATGTCTACTGAAGAAACATTTAAGTGACCAAGTTGGGCACGGATCAATTCTTTCTGTCATTTGAGAAAATGCATTTTGCTAGCCTAACAAAACCATAATGTTTCCTGCACACGATCTCAACATAAATGAAATTTGTTTATTTCAAAATGTAAATCAATTAATAATGTATTATTACACTTGCATAAAACCACAATTTCTTCATATTAATATTGATACTTCTTTTTACATAATTTATGCCGTATGTCTTTTTCTGTCCTTTTTTATATTTTTCAATAAAGTTACTGATGATATTCCTGCACTGCTACGACCTAAGGTCATGGGTTGTTGTTCAACGCTTCTAACTCCTCGCCAAAGGTATTCAATTCAGAATTACTATGACCAGGTCCTGTATACGTTCGCTTCCAAAGTGCTCTAACAGTTTTAACTGAAGATAATAATCTTTCTTTAGTATGTTTCACGTCCGAATTGTCGGACTGGTGTACTGTTTTATGAGGATTTCGTAGAAAGTCTATGTTTCGGTTGCTACATTTTGTATGAACAGAAAAACTCTTGAATAGTTTGAAGAACAGATATATACATACGACACCTGCTAGCAAGATTGCCCACCAATAATGCTGAAAAGACAATATATTACAATTGAAAAAATAAAAGTGTATCATAGCATAAAATTATGTATAAGTCCGCATCAAAAATGGAGTTGTATTCAAAGCTTGTTTATTCACCCATCTACAATGCCATTTACACATTATATGATACCGGTTTTTTATTTTTGGTTTTTACTTGTCTTGTTATAATTGTTGAATTTTACATATCAAATGGGTGTGACAAAGTATTGTTATCATTTAATTTACATACTAGTACTCACTCTTAAAATAGATACATTGTTCCCTTCACATTTAGTACCAGGATGACAATGTTTCATTCTAGGCAATGGTGTATCAGGTCCAGCAACTTGACACCGTTTTTGTACGTCGCAATAGCCTGTGTCCTTGTTACAAGGTGTGCCTGTAAAAACGAATACTTCTACTTACTATTTAATGAATGCCTCAAGGACCATAATTTACTCATAGATCACTGTGCTTAAATAAAATGAAGCAACAAGACAACTCGACAAACTTCAGCCACACAAAACATTCGAAAGAGGCGCAGCAAGGCGTCGAAAAAAAAAGTTAGGCACAAAAGTCGCAGAACGTGGGCACGGATAAGCAAAAACCTGTTCTCGCCATTTGTTGTTGTTTTTTTATTATTAATATAAGATTAAGTCAATATTGAAGAAATACTACTTGCCAGTTGGAAGCTGTACGGGACGAATTGTTGCATTACTTGAAATATTTGATAACAATGCCATGAATTCAGGATGTTGTTTAACCTTGTCTATATCGTGTGAACTGATACACTCATCAGACCGTCGTCTCCCTGAAATGTTAAAAACGGTCTTTGAAAAGTAGTCACACATTGTAAAGAATATGGACTATATGACAAATACTCATGCATGTCATAAACACAAAAGTAGCCTATTCTTTCAAACATTGACAGGTCATGAACTTATTATTGTGCAAAACAAGTAAGTTTTCATATATTTCTACTCTAGACCTGGTAACTTATTGCGAAAACAATTCATTTAGAATTTAAGGAATATGTTTTATTACAAATTGAAGTATATTTATATATCAATATATTTGTCAATTTGTAAGCACGCATTTGCCATTTCGGAAAACGGTCAAATAGCATTTGTTATCCTTAACATAGTATATTTTGTTCAAATGTAAAAGTAACATCAAATATAGGAATTGCAATAGATTAAAAGTTTACTAAGGCTATCACATTGCAGAACTACAAACAGTTTTTGTAGGTAGTGAGTTGAGATTTACTTACGACAGCCAATGTAACACAGCTTCTCTTTCTGTTCAATAGTTAGGTTTTCATTATCATTGGACATCAAGCATTCTCGCCATTGTATCAGTTTACATATCGACGCATTACAGCTCTACAAAGAAACCCAAAACAATACTGTCTCAATAAAATGGATAACTGAGATGTTTTGACATGTCATATGCGGATAAGGGCCCCGAAATTTTTTCTCCTTACCATTTAAATGAAAATCATGTAGCTAAAATTATTATGATATTAAAATGCGTTTGATTTTTAATTATGTAGCAAATTGAATTATTGATGACAGCACTATATGTGAACCGAATTACTTAACACACAACTGTATATAGAAATGCACCTAATATTTATCATTTAAAGTTTGCGTATATTATATAGCATTAAGGTAAAGATTTACCCCTGCGTCACAAACACGTCCATTTCTGCTGCATATAAAACCATCTTCTCGCTGTTGATCTAAACGTGGCGGTGGGCACTTAGGACCGTACATCTCTCCAGTGCGAAAGAGTTAAGGAACTTGAATTTTGTATTATAACATATTTTAGTAAAGGAAGTTGGCAAATGAACCTGACTTAACAAGAATGAAACAGCAAAATCGTTTGTGCCTGCTTCGTGAAACCGTTTATAATGTTCATAAGAAAATCCTATACTTGTTTTATTTCTATTAAGGTTGTGGTTATCGAAATTATCAGCACTTTCGTAATTTCTTCATAATCTAAATCGTATGCTTAGGAGAATATGATGCTAATATTAAGATTATCATTTCAAAATGTTTTGTAGTAGCATCTAGATTTTGTACATAGTTTTGATGAAAAGGATATTGGCAGTATAATTCGTCGACACATGGTTTAGAGTTCTGACAAACAAAATTCTCTGATTTATTTATAAACTGACAAATACTGCTGTCACAACATGGTCCTTGACTTGGACTGAAATAAAATGAAGAATTTTTTTAATGACAAGTCATTTAAAATATTTAATCTCTGTATGTATTCAGTATTTCATACAAAATATAATCACATTGCACAGGCTGCGTACTACATTATATTAGTAAACGCTCAAACGACATTTATGGTAAACGAATAAGTATTAAAAATACACAACATACTGGATTTAAATGAAATAAATATTTATATAATTTTACTTAATTTGCGTCAAAATGAGTATTTCAACTAAAATTGTTCCTGAAATGTCACAGATGCACTGCATGATTAATAGGTGCTGAAGAGCGTTGTCAATCCTGTTTGACAAGTTTGACATGGTCTTATTATGGTCTTATTATGATCTTACTTAATTGACATCCAACGTCAATTTATCATGTATCTTACACTATTAAATGTATTAAAACAATACCCTTTATGTATTACCTGCATTGTGCCGCAGCTTTTAGCATACATCTTAAACCCTCAGTTGCATTATGGGAATGACAGCAAGCATCTTTACCTGTATAGCAGTCGTTACCACAGTCACATTCCTCCTCGTCTTCAACTATACCATTACCACAAAATGGTATCTCACTACCTGGTGAATTATATGGCTAAATATTGAATTGGTACTCACTTATTGCTGAACAATAATAATGTTTGAATATTTAATAGCTCTCTACTATATGAAAAATATTGCTAAACATCAAATAAGTAACTCATTTCTTATTGAAATATTGTCTGAAAATTAGGTTGGAAACTCACTATCTGATAAAATGATAAACTATAAAATTGGTTATTCACTACCTAAAACTTTATATAGCTAAACGTAACTTTTTCACCCAAATACCTGCTCCACCTATATGGTTTTAAATATAACGCCTAGTAGTAAATGACTTTTGTTACATCTTTAACTATTTTATTTTAAAAAGCACACTAGTCAAGTAGTCATACCAGTAAAACAAGTTGTTGATTTGTTCATAGACAGCGCTATTGATATATATTTAAGACTACAAGGTGATAATTTATGGTGATTTGGTTTGTCCCCGCGTTGTGCGACATTATGCATCAAATAAAAGCCGTCGACTGGTTCCTCTTTCAGATTAAAACCTGCACATTCCTGCATAGTGTCATGCTTAAAAGTAAAAGGCAAATTGCATTTCAGATATACTACGCTCAATTTAGAATATTTGTTTTAATGAATAAAGTGATACAGACATATTTTAATCCAGTCCTCTTCTGTACTTTGTGTTATAGGATTTGTATCAATCACCTCCAGGTTAGTTGCATTTTCAAAACAAGAATTTACAAAACTTCTCTAGTAAAGCATTTACTTAATTTTAAAGTTATCACAAAAGTCGTCGGTAAGACATTTCACCATTATATCAAAACAAACTATTGTACTTTTACGACAATGTGTTCTTACGTAGTGGCCATAATGCATGTGCACTTTGTCGTGTGTAACACAATTGTGTAAACATTGTGGGTAATGAATTTGTTGTAGTTTCTTGAAAATGAATGTGATGAATCGCATTGTTTATTGTAGAACATATCTCCGCATCTTTGTCTGTAAATAATATTGATTAGTTAAAATAATATCGATTGTTGACGATCATACGACATACCACCTTGAGAAACAAAACAACATCAATAAAAGAATGTTGAAACATTCTACGAGGGTTGTCCAAAAAATTCGTGCACTGCAGTTATTGTCGTGAGAGTTATTGATAGAAAAACATGAATTATATATCACCTGAAGGGGTAATCTGTCTCAAATAAGAGAACAAAAGAAAAAGTCGTGTAACTGTAATGTCATGAAAACAAATCGACATACAGTTACCTTGGTAACGTAATAGCGGCGCACGACAAAAAATTGGGTTAGTTCATGACTTTGATGCATTATAGTTTTCTTTAAACACTACATATTAATGTCAAAATTCAGGAAAAAGTGTGTTTACGTATTCGTGACGTCAATAGAAAAAATGATGCCATTTGCCCAATTATAACGGCCGTAACAAACATTTCTGTGTGGTCGTCAATACTGTAATAACGTGAAAATTTTAGTCGCTAAACGTCTGGAAATACGGACGATCATTAAATTTTGGGCAAGTTTTGGAAAAACACCGACAGATACCTACATTGAATTTAAAAGGGCAAGGGTGACAAGTTCATTGTAACGAAGGCTGGTTTTTGAATGGCACAAATGCTCTGTAGAGGGACGAGAGGAGGTAGATGATGACAACCGGTCAGCAAACGTTCGTCCGTAATGCCGGCGCATGTAATTCCGGCGCATGTGACGATTGATGTCCAATATACTCATGCACTGGTGGAATATGTTACATGTATGTTACATAAGATAAAAAAACAAGTAAAATGAATTACATTAATCATTCCCCTATGGACAGTAAAACAAATTATGACATAAAAAGCAAATGCCACTTTACAAGAGACAAAATAATTAATATTACCATAGTAATGAACTAACCCATTTTTGTCGTGCGCCGGTATTACGTTACTAAGGTAACTTAATGATCATTCTTTTACACGACACGCCGGTAACACGGCTTTTTCTAATGTTTTCTTATTTGAGATAGATTTCCCCTTCAAATGATATATAATTCATGTTTTTTCATTAATAACTCTCACGGCAATAACTGCAGTGCACGAATTTTTTGGACAACCCTCGTATTAAGTTATGCCAAGGCGTCGAAATCCGATGAATTTTGACAACAACATAAAAAAATCTACACATTGACTTAAACTGGATAACATATCTATCTTCCTGTAATAACAAATGCTTACTTGTCATTTTTGTTAAAGAAAGTACTTACCTTTTGATGGCTGAAATGCGTAACCAAGAAGAGGACTTTTGTTGATATACAACACTCTAGCTGTGATAAGGAAAGACAAACAATACTTTGATTCTGTTGTTAGATATGCAGCATCTGTTAAACAAATGAACATAAAAACGCAGTTATCAAATATACAATCAGTTATATGTCTGGGTGTAACAGATTAATAAAACTATAACCAAAGAATATCAAGATACAGTAACAATGACAATGAATCGTTAATATATCTAAATTTGTCGGAAGTTTATCAAAAATACTAAATGTAAATATAATCTATTTAAACTCGAAATTTAAAACAACATGTAGCCTATTTAAACCAGTCTCGAACCAACTTCCTTGGTGCCATACGATGCAACATGGCTGTTGTTCTAGAGACAAGAAGTCGCGATTTCATGATTGAGATCCACAAGATCATCGCTCCCTTTTTAAGTACACCTACCTCCTTGGTAATCAGCATCATGAAAATCATGATTATAGTAATAATCGTAATCAGATAGACTTTCTTCTTCTTCTTCATCGGCAAACTTGTTGAGCAGGACTTGTCCTTTAAGATCGTCTCGGCATAAAACAGATGTGTTGTTTTCCTCGCAATCCATATCTGTCATAATCTGTTCACAATTAATAGATGGGAAAAGAGACTTAACTTAGTTTGATATGGCTCGTTGCATTTAATTAATATCTAACTTTTGGTTAACAAGACGTATGGACTTTTCAATTCCCGTAACAACCTAGCAAAGATAACAAAGTTAAACGTACGAAAGCTTTAATTTTCCATTTACATTCATTTAATATATCTTTGCCTATTTATCACATAACACCTTGCTATATTAGACATATCGAATAAACTTTTAACAAAATTTCTTTTGTAATATTTTTACTTCAAAAATGTCTGATAGCAACGTTTGTAAAGCATATTTATATAATATACCTTTATCTTTCTTATTTCAAACTGAATTCCTTTCAATTTTTCCTCTGTGTCTTGTCCTTGATTTAATGTAAATTCTGTATTTTTGAAGACCTTATTTGCTTCAGACACATGATTCTCCAACAAGAACAAAATGTCATAGTGACTTTTATCCTCGTTCTGTGTAGTAAAATAAGAAATAAAGCTATCTTGTTTGAGAAATAGTAAACAGAAATAATCACTCGTTTATTTTATCTCAAAAGTATACTTTAGTAAGTATAACGTGGAAGCCAAAAAGAAAAATTGCCACAGTTAAGCTTGATGAAGTGTAAAATTTCTTAATTTACTAATATGACTTTATCCGGTTCATATGTTGTTTTTTATCTACAATGTGCCTCTGGAAATGAACCATAGCATGTCTTAACTACTTTTATATTTATCAATTTACTTTTTATGACATAAAAACATTTCATTTTTTATTATTCGATTGAAAAAAGTGTAGAGAAGCGAAACTTATTTCAATGATAACAAATGTCCAAAAACAAATTTACCTTATTTAAATTCATATAATATTTCCACACAGTTGTGTCAGTTGTTAATTTAACCGTGCACACATGATGATCTTGTCCGTTAGATGGTGGGAGTAAATCTCGTTTTCGTCTGCCTCTTGGCTTATTATTCATCAACTTCATGACAAAACAATCATCGTTAGTAGATTTTTATTGTTAATAAGGTTTTATATTAACAAAAACAACATTTTTGTCTAATGAAGTTAGTAAGAAAAACATAATGTATGATAAATAAATGGCATTATGTACCGATTTAGTTAATGTTGGTTGTATTGTGAAAGATAACCTTTCTTTAGAAGTATTGCAAATGTTTATGTCCTCAAATTAGCAGATTATCAATTAAACTGAGTATGCACATTGTTGCCTTGAAAATTTACACTCATATATTTTTTGGTTTACATTGGCTAGGTGCATTGTAGTATCTGAATAGTTTCAAACCTGAGTCTTTCTCCCTGCATTTTGTACCCAATCAGAGTGGAATGTGTGATTCCTGGAAAAAGTAGAGAATTAGAATTGAAAACGATGTTTTACTCTCATAGGAGTCATATTGAAGTTTCATATGGGAATGCAATTTCTTACTTCTAACATAAAGGCGTTTGTATACTATTTAAGTGTGCAAGATCTGTTCAGAATAAAAACAGTTGTTTATGTTTAATATGTTTTTTATCAATTAATAAAACTGCCATAATGAAGGAAAAAAACATTTTATTATATATTATAATTTTATATTCGTTTCATTCAAGATCACATAAAGGTTTGTTTCAATAGAAACATCTGCATCTGAGAAAAGGCGACGATAGAACAGAATTAAGAATGTAGTTTGCGACAAGAAAATAATATCGTGCAAGTACCATACTACTGACCCTCCAACAATAATACTCGTTCTTCTTCATCAATGGTGTATAATACAGAGCACAAAAGACATTTGTGAATAATGTTTATAAAATATCATACCATAGATAGTCTTTTTCAGAGTATATCACTGTATGAAATGGTGTTGGCTGTTTGAACAACCAGGAACTTGGAGCAATGTGATAAATGGTTTCTCCAGGATGAATTAGTTTTCCCTGCAATGTTCCATTGATCACAGCTATTTTTGCTTCACTCCCAGGATAATCTGTAAAAACAATGGGTCGTAAAATTAAACAATATTTTTAAAGATATAGGACAGAACCTAATGGTTTTTATTCAATTTTAATCATCATATGAAAAAATGTTGCCTTACGGCAAATGTAGTCAAACTGTATAAAAATAAACAAATTAAAATAAATATACAAGCCGTTTTTGATTGCGTGCTTTCATTGACAATGTATCAAATTGTCTACAAATAATATGTTATATCTGTTTAATGGGAATATGAAATGTTACAAATATAACTACCCTGAGAAACTGCTGTTATTACCTTCGACTGAACCCTTTTGTATATTGTATGAAATTATATGAATTTATGTTTATATTCTATCAAATAAAAAGTTATTAAATTATAACCTTTATTTATTTTTAGATACAAATACATAAATGTAATATATTTTGAAATAAATAAAATTTACAAAATAAATAGATAAATAAAAGTCATTTATACATTGCGATATTTTAGTTGAAAACACATATATATTACCATATTTTGCAATCACATTGCAATATTAATGTAATGCTAGATTAATACAGGAATTAATGTTAAAATGTTAAAAAAGAGGAGAAACATTAATTACATGAATATATTGTATAAGCCAGGTCAAAATTAAAATACTGTGCTGCGTTTCATAGAAAGCCCTTAGTGTATCCTAGGACACAAACCGCCTTTAAGACCGTTTAAAAGACCGTTTCAATATAAAAATTTATCTTCAGAAAAATACTGAAGACTATATACAAGTGCATTCTCCAGAGAAAAAATAAGAAATGCAATGACATGTTCTTTTGTTAGCAATGTGTCATGTCAATCAACATTGCTATTCAGAAATCAAAAAAGTCATAACATGGAGCCATAAGTTAGAACATTTCCTTCGAAACGTAGAATTATCTCTGTTTTGGAAACGCAGCCCTGGTCATTATATAAACATTATGTTAAAGAATTTTAATAAAAGTCTATCTACGATTCAAAATTTCTGTTTAAATGTTCTTGTCAAAATCTAGAAAAAAAAACCAATTTAATTTTCAACAGCAATATTTTATGTTAAGAGGCGATAAATGATCCAAAATCACACAAAATGGGCTTTTTCACATTTATCTATAATATTTTGTAGTTTATAGATGTAATCTGTCTTGAAATACTTGGGAGTATTTGTTATCATTGCAATACATTATCTTATTATTTTTTTTCATAAAATGATATATAAGCTTGTTACTATTTTTACATTGTGGATCATGGTTAATCATATCATTATGATAACCGTCTTTTGATATATTTACCTCACACGAAAATGATAACTTTTCTTATATTTAAACTGCAAGTCAAACACAATTCCAAAACATCTAGCTATTTTCATGTTGAGAATAATGCTGGAATTTTAACGTTGCGTTATTCTTAACTGTATGAAAAAATACTTTGCATCAGTTGGGATTTTGAAACCTTAATCATCTAGCGTTAACAAGTACATTATGTAGTTTAAGTATTTTAATAAAAGTTAATTGGTGCATAATGGAAAGGTTTATAAAATGATTAATGTGTATATTGATAGTATTTAGAAGCCTATATGACAACAAACCACGAAAAGCTTATATTGGTTGTAATTGTAAGATACATGATGATATTTAATTTTACATATCTTTATATAGCAGATAGAAAAACTGTCCTTGACCAACATATTATGGTACATCATAATTATAATTGTTCACACTTATTTACTTAGAACTCTATCAACAATTTTGTCCAAGGAATATTTAAAACGGAATATCAAAATTGGTTTTATTAATATTTTAAATATGTCTTGAAAATGTTCCTGTTATAGACAAAAAATATTTTAACAGCAACTGTCATTGGTTAAATAAAAGAATATTGTAATTAATGTTATCGGACGTAAATTGATAACTTTTAAAAAGCAATTTAAAGAACAAATTACTTTTTACTTTACTACTGTTAACAAAAATTCGCTTTTTTGTGTTTTATATTAGTTAAGGGTGTAAACGTTTGGATCAAACTACCTGGAATTAGCTTGATATGGCATTTAAGCTTTAAGAATAAACTAAATATGATAATAAACATTACTAGATGACCCAAGGCAAAAAGGCTTTGCCGGATTGACAGGTACAAAAGTTAAATGGTATTGTAAGATAACTTTTAATAACATAATTTCAAACGAAATAAAACCGTGAGATATTTTTCCACATAATTACAATGTTTTGTTTCGTTCGTTGCTGATATTATTTGAGTCAATATTGTATCTAAACCATGTACCAAACCTGAATGAATAATATTTGATTATGCATTACAGATCCGTTCAAAAACCCTTATGCAAGCACATTTTGGGCAATAAAATTTCGATTAAGACGACACGGGAATTATCTATTGAAAAACTTTTAACATGTATGATAGTAATCATCAAACAAACGTTTAAGTTATTAGGGATTGTATGATAAACAAGAGATTAAATATGATCAAGGCGTTTTTATTGTCAACAACGCTTCACACACTTATTGAGCGTTTGTTTATACATCAAAGCAAAACAAATGTACATGTCTCTTTTATGTGTTATCACAAAAGTTCGTTTTTTTCTTCTTTAAACAGTGCACGCACGTTTGATTTATATTATCAACTGTTTGTAGTTGATATTATCTTACTTAAAGTGTACACATCTATCGAAAATGATATCTTATACTTTTCAAAATCATTTATTCAATAGAATACATTTTCCTTTTGAAAGTATTACATATTAAATAAAATTGTACACTGACACCAACCTGTATCCTTTCCAGTATAAACAAATGACAGATCGGGCGTGGTAGTTTTCTTTTTGTGATGCAGAATAATGTTTGATGTTGACTGTACACTTCTTTTTAATTCAAGAGAAAAGTTTCTGAAAACATTGTTATATAAGTTAATGCATTGAATATCTGCGTTTTAATATATTTGTGTTTAATAAAGCAAAACTGTAGAAAAATAAATAATTTAAAATATTTCACATCTAACAGCTATTGCTAACTAGTGCTGTCTGGCAAACTACAAATCATGAGTCCATATGACATGCGGCGTCTTAGCAATAAAAGAAGGGCAAACCATAATACACTGTTCTCAAATTATGCATGTTAACACATTATTTTAAAAGCAAACTCGTTAATGGATGAATATTACTTTCATTTTGTCCATCCCGAGTTGCTGCATTAAAGCAAGTATATATCTAGACATTTTTGTTTTGCGTATATCTTGGCGCTTATGTCATGCATAAAAGGTCTCCAAAGCAGAAAATGTATTGTCATAACTGCAAATCTTGCATTTATCTTAACACAATTTGATTTAAAGCTTTTTCAAATGACAATGCTTAGTAATTTTTTTAATGTAGCATTCAGCTTGATAAAATGAACATACTAGTTCAAAGCACGCACCTTTTAAACGCATTCAATTTAATCCGGATTAAACCTCCCGACTTGCCGCTTTTTGTATGTAAAAGGTGAAGGTCATCTATGTCGTAATGTAATGGCTCATAGTACAACAAACGCTTGTCCAAAAGCTCTTCATTCCCTGTATAAAAATAAAAAAGGGCATTCTAAAATTACACAAAGGTATATATATTATGTTTCCTAATCAAGTATAACGCTAAATAGACAAATGTACACCTTGTACTATAGTACACCTTGTACTATAATACTGCCACACACATGCATGTAAACAATTTCAGTACACTTTGTTCATAATATACAAAAGCTACAATTCCTTTGCAGACGATAATATGCATGTTTGATATGTTTTGAAATATTCAAGTTTATCGGAATCAAAGTTACAGAAGAATCATCAACGAATTACTTTATTTCACCACAAAGTGAACAAAAAAGGCTTTCGACCACCTGCATTTTAAATAAAAGCGTAATAAACAAAACCACAAGATAACTGTTTTAAAACCGCGTATACTTTATTTTCATTACAAACGAACATATATATATAACACGAAAAACATTCTGAATGCAATACTTTTGCAGAAAACAAATAAAATGATGCCAATTGCTTTTAAAAATAGAGCTTTATTACGTGAACTTTTTAAATCATTTTAAATTAACATCTAATACTTCATCATTTACAGTAGAATATATAAAAAGTACCTTAAATTTCTGAAAAAAAAATAAATACAAAAATATATGAGCCGCGTCACGACAAAACCAACATAGTGCGTTTGCGACCGGCATTGATCCAGACTAGCTTGTGCATCCGCGCAGTCTGATCAGGATTCATGCTGTTCGCTTACAAACCCTATAGCAAGCAGAGAAACTGATAGCGAACAGCATGGATCCTGATCAGACTGCGCGGATGCGCAGGCTGGTCTGGATCCATGCTGATCGCAAACGCATTACGTTGGTTTTGTCGTGACGCGGCTCGATCATATCATTTTAAATTTTTTTTTTCTGAGGAGACGATACAATATAAAGTGTACTATTATCTCTTATCACAGTGTTTGGTTGATAAAATCATGAGATATGTAAAATAATGATGCCTCTGTCTGGTTATGAAACGAATAGTGACTTTATGTGAAAAAAAAAACAACATAAATAAGAACAACAAATAATAACATCGTAGAAGATCCTGTAATATGTAATAATATATCATGTGTCTAGATAAAGACTAAATTATTGGTATGAAATACAATTATATATAAATCATTATTCATACCCACTCTGATTTATACAAATGTCAAACTGACATTAAAATAACATTTTTTTATTAAGATTAAATATTTATAAACCATTTTTGAAAATTTAAATTTGGGTTATTGCGGCTAATTACCGAGTAATGTTAATACTACAGATTCAATTTATACTTTAAATGTCCCTATAAAATGTAACTCAATATGTCATAAAATGAACAACCATTCATGAAATATAAAAAATAGAAGAAAGAAAATATAAATCACTTAACTAGTCAAGGACACAATAGTAAAATTAGTTGAAGAAGTATAAAATACATAATTGTTAAAATCCCCTGACTAACATCAAAGACGACTTTTAAAAAGAAAATTAAATATATAGATTATCATTTATACACACTCTGATTAATGTAAATGTCACACTGACATTATTATTACATTTCTTTTCAGATTTTTACAGAGTAAATATTTATAAATCAAATATACCGCTTGTAAATTTAAATATCGGTAAATGCGCTAATTAGGACTAATGTAAATACTACAGATTCAATTTTTACTTTAAACGTCCCCATAAAATGTATCTCAATCTGTCATAAAATGAATATACATTTATGAATTATAACAAAAAATATATATAATATAAATCACTTAGATACCGAGTACACAATATCAAGCTAATAATAAATGTCCTTACCAAAGTAAAAATTATGGTGACTTATTTGTGACATGTCGTACTTTCGCTCTGGTGGGCGCAAGACGAAACACGAAAATACAACAAAGTAATCACTTTGTCATATTTTTGTGGGGTTTTTTTATTTCGAGTTTTTACCTGGCGCGCCATAAGGGAAAGGTCAACGTTTTTGAATTCACGATTTCAACTCCGCGAATTCACGATTTAACTCAAGGAATGCACGATTTCATGTTCATGAATTCATTATTTCAACTTTCTGAATTCATGTTTTGAACATCACGGATTCAAGATTTCATCTTCACCAAGTTGAAATCGTGAATTCCCGAAGTTGAAATCATGGATTTACGAAGTTAAAATCATGAACATCAAATCGTGAATTCATGAAGTTGAATATGTGAAGTTGAATAAGTGAATTCGTGAAGCTAAAATCGTGAATTCTGTATGTTGAAATCGTGAATTCATTAAATTGAAATAGTGAATTCGTGAAGGTAATGCTGAAAACTCAAGAAGTTTATATGTCACCACCGATCTTTCGTACGAAAGTGTAAGTGAGGTAATATAGCAACATCTTATTTATTTATTGGTATAGTATTACAGAATTAAACTATTTATCTGGCAAGAAATAAAAACTGAAATTGTTCATCGCTTTAATATAATTCTATGTAACTCTAAGTGCTTGAGATATAAACTACTGTACAATGATACAAAAATCTTTTATTTTTAAAACACATGCACAATGATACACATAATTTAATATAACACGTTTAATAATAAGTTTTTTGAAATAAACTTTATCTGGGATAAACACATAACTTTAAACAGAGAAAACGTTAATGGTGAAACAATCTAAGTATAGATATTTTCAGCTTGCAAATAAAATATACCAAAAACAATCTAATTGAAAATATGAAATCACTTATATGGAATCACAATTAACACTAATCCGGTTGAAATATGAATTAAGGTATTAGGACCCTAATGGGCACTATCAGGAACTAAAAAATTGACATCATAAGTCAGATGTATACCTTAAAGTACACCTGTATGCAAAATTTAAACAAAGTTTACCGTACGGAAATCAAGTTATGGCCACTTTTCTGAACTCAAGCATGGATGTTATGAGGGCACTTTTTTAGAAAGTAGGAACCTTTAAATAATCTGCAATAACATTCTAATGAAAAATGTTTTCCCATTAATTTTTGGAAAGAAACAAATAGTACCATTCAGCTAACAATCCAAATAAGCAAAATTATGGTTTCTACTTAAAATTTATGAAATCTGTATAAAAATGTTACCCTACCCCACCCATTTTTACCACATGTCTGACCATTTTTCTACTTAGGGAGCCTAATTTAAAAAATTCTTAAAATTTACCCAAATGAGTGCCTGTTTTCAAAGTTTCCCTAAATTTTTAAAAAAGTATATTGGTTGATCTTGTAAAATATGAAATACTTTGACCGTCTAGTTTTGATTATATTACACTTTGAAAATATCAGGTACCATATTTATTACTAGATTTAGCATAATTTAGCCAATAAATACCTATATAAATTAAAAAATCAAAATTAAACACTTTTTTCTTTCCATATGGGACATGAGAGATACATAAATAATGTTAAAAGAAAAAAAGAAAGAAAAAAAAAGTTGACCCTTCTGGGGATTGAACCCATGGCCCTCATTTTTAATGTAGTTAACATTAGTTCTAGCCTATTTGAATACTCTTCAAAGCGGAGGTAATGCATTAGGGTGCTAATACCTTAATGTACTTAAATATTCGTTTCTTTATATATATTGATACACTAACAAAGGAACACTAAGGATAATTATACATGTACTTGATAATCATGATATAATTGCCCCAGGTTAATTTTGCTCGGTTATCGTAGTAAAATATATATTTTAATTGCTTTCTTAGAAATACGGCAGCATAATCATACATTTCATAAATGACACTAAAAATCGGCCTTTATTTTTCCTAAACATAAGAATTCTAGAATTATCAAACAGCATTAAATTTGACAGGTGTTGAAGGAATGAAAAATAAAACAGTTAGTGAAATAACCGCACGTTTAGGTCTTATTCAATTCCCGTTTTGTTATTTCACTTTAGATATATTTCTAACATTGCAGGCGCAGTTTACAAGAAAAAACATATTGTTTAATTTATTATATACTCGACATACTCAAAGTTTCATTTTTCTCGTTGTTTTTTTCTTGCTGTGTTCTCTTTCCCCTTGTTTGTTAAATCTAAAATACTTCATTTTAATAGCAGATATTATCTTTCATAAAAAATATCACCTGCATTAAATCTTGATCTATAACCCCCTTGCTCGTATGCTAGATATGGAAATAAACTTTTAAGAATAGCTATTTATCAATAAATTATTTCTCGATAGTCATAATAGCATAGTCAGAATTTCATAAAGGTATAATTGTATTATTTAATTTTTCCTAGCGTGCATTTTATATCTTAATTCTATGACGTACATTAAAAGGTTTATAAAAAGATGAAAAACAAAACATTAAAACTTTTCAAAGAAAAATAAAACTTTCATAAAGATAAAATTAAATAAAATGTGTCAAACCTGCAACATAATTAGCACACAATGCTATCTGAAACAATAACAAAATTAACTCGACATTTAGATGTCTCATTTTGAACTCTATATAAATCTCAATGTTTGACAATAGTTATTTTATCCATTATGAAAATGCACATCATTTATCCGTCTCGATTATATGGTAATATCCATGTATGCTGTTATCATTACGACTGAACTGTTTACTCTAAAACTTCAGCTAGTTAAACTGTATTTTATATCACGGTAGTTTTTTCCTACCTATACTCTTACCACACATGCGCAGTCAAAACACAAAATCCGCTCCGATTTGATAGTAAAGTTTTCATTACTTCTGTTTGCTATTTGAATATTAGTTTGGCTTACCGGTTTATCTCTTATGACATGTCATCTCACTCTGACATAGAATTATAATATTTAGTATCTTATATTCATGTATAATGATATGGTTAATTAATTTATAATGTTTAGATAAGTTCATTCATTTGGTTAAACATAAATATATTAAACAATATCATTATTATTAAAACCATTAATTAATCAATCAATTGATCAATCAATCAATCAATTCATAAAATTATTAATTAATTAAATATTTATTTATTATTTCCGTTATTCACTTGTAATGATTTACATGCATTATTTTATTTATTTATTTATTTATTTATTTATTTATTTATTTATTTATTTATTTATTTATTTATTTATTTATTTACTATATTTGCAATTCTTTTTGCATTTGTTTTGTTATTTAAGACTCGCATCTTCTTAATACTTCAATATAGATTTATAAGAGATAAAACATCTATTTACGGACATATATAAAAACATAGCAGACAAACATTAAGCAAACAATAATTGACTCCAAAGTTGTAAAGCACATCATCACTATATCTATTTTAACCTTGTAATACAGGTCAAACAATGTCGACATGTTTTACATGGCTTGATAAAACTTGAGAGAAATTGCCTCCATTCACACTCACTATGTTCATATCTTTACTACAAGGTCATACAAGTGTAAATAGTTTAAAACGTCTATTTCCATTCATAATTCTTCCAAGATTGTTTCATAATAGCCGTAAATATTTATACTATAACTACAAGATCTGTTTATATTGTTATATTATACTATGTAATTCACTGTCCTTTTTCTGATGTTGTTTTTTTTTCGTTTCTTTAATGTTGTTGTTTTTATTTATTTTTCGTTTTTACTTATTTACTTTTTTATTTGTTGATGATTTTTTTATATAATATTATTATATTTCTATATTTGCTTTCAAGCATTTGGTGAGAAATTTGATTTCGACATTAGGCAATTTTGCAATACGATATTTCTTTGCCCGGTAAATTTGTTTATCAAATTCAGAAAAGTGATCCTATGTTGTTGCATTAAGACAAAAACATTGTTCATGCGCCTGTAGTTGGTAAATCGATCAGTTCTTTACTCGCAAAAAAATTCTGATAGCAAATATATCCCTAAATGCCAAATATGCTTAATTTATAAAATGATTTTCTCAATTTAGAAGTCATCAATGGCGAATATCAGACTGCATACGTCACGCAACTTTATGGCGCACAATATGTCACTTTTTGTATTGTATGAGTCATTATATTACCCGGATTGTCTTACGTTGATAATGTTATTGACATAATTTATTATGTATGCAAGTTGGTCTATGAAAGTTTAGATTAACAATCTACGTCACTCAGATCAATAATGCATGATTCAGTCAAATGTTTTTATAATTTTTATACCATACGATCTTAAAAGTAACTTGAATCACGTGAAAGCTTATGAGTTCTTTCAAAGCTCAGTATATTATGCAAGTTTGGCATTTATCATTAATGCAACAACTAAACCGAGTTATAACATATGGATTAAAATAAATATGCATTTGTTCATTTTCTTATGATGAATAAAGAACTCTTCAAGATCGGATATGACATGCATAAAATATATGACTTTACTTTATTCACTTTCTTATACTTCTAATTAAAGGGACATATAGCTAATGAATTATCATTTTAAATAGTTATAAGAAACCAATATTACTTTTGGAATAATTTATGTTATAAAATCTTATTTGCAATGTAAAAGGATGTCATTATTTATTGAGTGCATATTTAAATGAACTGAATGCCAAATAGTGGCGGCGTGGCCGAGTGGTTAACGCGTCGGACTAGTAATCTAAAGTAATCTAAGCCGTTGTTTCCTTGAGCAAGAAACTTTACATTCATTGCTTAGTACTGGTTGGTTCCAGGAACGGATTCGAAAGTGTTTCAATAAGCTTATAGCTTCCAACACAATCGAACTCAAATAAATTTGTATAAACTAAATGAACTGAATACTTTTCGTTCCGAAATGTGTATTGTTAAAAGATAGAAAACATGTCTTTACACTTCAATAACTATGCACTCAAGGGTCTGACATTAATACAATGACAAGTGTCCATTCTTTTGATTGATATTATCTTTATTAATCCATTACACTGCCGAGGGAAATGACAATTGATCAGGCATAATAACATAAAGATAAAGAACATCCACATTAAACAATTTACCCGTTTGAAACAAAATGTTCTTAACAAATTATTAGTTATGATATGATATTTAGAATGTCTGTATTCATTGAATGTGTTTGCTGAGAAAACAGAAAAATATAAGCTTAAAAAGTGTTAATCAGTCGGGAACAGTAGCAATTAAGTAGTCAAGATAAGGTCATTTTGTGTGTCGTTAAAGTGATCTAGTCTCTTTTTATTAGACCATAAGAGTAAAATAAAAAAAGTAAAATAAACGTCACGCAGCAGAGCCTCTGACAATATCTAGCCATACAAGATATCCAACCAGTTGAACAGGAAAATGATTACCAGAACTAGTTGAAACACGCCATGCGAAGGGATAATGTAACTTTCTAAAGTAACCAAGAGCTATATTTTTTTCAAAGCGACAATCATTTGTTTAATAATTTGCTCTAAAGACCAAGTTTGTTAACTCATTCATTTTCAAATTGATTTTACAGTTAACTGAATAAGTATGCTAATTTATATTGTCTAAATTGAGGCAATACTCGTTTTATACAGATTGATATATCTTTGTGATTTTTTGCAGGACAGTAATGTACGGTGGCACAAAGGTGACATGTGTGTGTTTTTATTTATCTCGTGGCCACGAGATACTAAGTCGTGGACACGAGATAGCTAAGTCGTGGCCACGAGATAATCGATTTCACAAGAAAAAAATGAAAAGACAAGGTTCAGTTTGTTATTCTATAACTTCTATATTTTTTTTTAATTTTATGTCTTCACTTTGGCGTATTCAATGCTGTATTAGCATGAATGAATAAATGTCAAACGTTTGACATTCGGTTAAGCGGAGAATTCAAATTTTCAACAACTTAACTGGCATTGAAGTATATTAGATAACATTTTATAAAATGTTTAGTGGCAATGATCTATCTATTATACAACATAATAAATAAGAAAATATGATGTTATGTTAATTCTTTAAAAAAGTCATATGATATTTGGACTGTTTAACTGCTGTTTGAAATTGAAAGAGGATACACCTTGAGAGCAGTGCACACAGAGTAAAACGATGAAAATTGCAGAATCGGTATTATAGCTTGGTCCAGGAGAGAATATACAAGAATCAGCATCTTCATTGCCCTCTAGCACCAGCTTAATCTTCAACATTATTGTACATGTATCTGTCAATAACCCAAATATAACGAGATTAAAATAAGTACGGGGCAACTGATAACATCTTTCATACAAAACTAAACACCTTCTGTAATAAGTGTAAAAATCTTAGTTTCAGCACAGTTTATTAAATTCTCTTTGGTTTTCACTTGTTTGTGTTTTCTTTTCTTGCTCAAGCAATGAAGTACTGACATTAAATATTTTGCAGAAATGTAATGCTGTGGTAATTATTAGCATAGAATATCTTTAGTCAATCTTGTAATCTTTGATTAGAAGAAAACATTTGTTTTTTTTGTACAAATTATAGTTGGTGCTAACATTTATATCCTTCTATCTATCAAATTTACGGGCCCGTTGAAATATATGTCTTTATAAACTCGTGCATCCGTAAAGATATATAGTAAATATTTCATTTTGTACGCTTTCCGTTTCTGTAATACTATATATCAGCATGGGAAATCAGCAGCCAACACACGGTTAGAAAACGCGAAAAAATCTATATCAAAATAAATATCAAAAATATAAAAGGTTTTAGAGTTTTGAAACAGTAAACATGTTTTTAAAAGCATTTTAGGAGCTGGCTTGTTGACCATACGATCTTAATGTATACAAATACAACAAATTTTTACTTTCAATCATAACAAATATTACATATAAACATAACAAACACTTTCTCACAGACATTTGTATAAGTACTTGTATTTTTCATAAGAAATCCAGTTTGTGTTATCATAGACAAACTGATTTAGGTCGAAACTGCAATTCCCGTAAACTGAATATATTCAAACTTAAGAGAGAATCAGGCTCAGTCCTCTTCTTGCACATCTAGACCTTAATTAAAGAAATGAAAGTTCATACATATTTATTTAAAATGACTGTATACCCATTCAGTGGTATACAGTGAGAGAACTGCTAAAAAAGGCAAAATAAGTTTACCTTTTGCCATAATTCCTTTCAATTTTATAATGTACTTCCCATGCACAATATATAAGTCACATGGCCTTAAGGAAGTTCTGTAAATTTTCATCGAAATTTACCTGTAACATTCTATTTATAAAAAAAAGAGTGAGACAGTCTTTTTATATTTTAGGCAGATTTTTATTTCATGCTAAACATATTCCGTCAATCACTATTATAACAGTTAATATTTTTAATTTTATAATCATTCAGCACAACTTTACAATAAAAATGAGCATAATTAATTAGTAATTTATCAGGACACAAATATTTTTTCATGTTCCATAAAGACTGAAGGCTATTAAAGGAGTAGGAAATTAAAAGTGGATTGGTCTACAATGGCATATTTGTCATCAGTATTTCAAAAATTGATAAAAGAAAATAAGAAATTCATTATTAGGATATGTTATGAAATAGAATGTGGACAGAGTTCTAAATTAAAAGCGATTTAGCATGAACATATATATTATGAATAATAATATTTTGTTCAAGAACACTTTATTCACTGCAATTTATGTATATGTCATAGCGGATCATGTATCCAACACTAACC